GAAAGAGAGAATTTGGGTTCCATCAAAATCTTTCTAGTGGCTCAGGCCGCCCAAAGGCAAGGCTTTCTCAGTTCTAGGCTCCCTGCCCCAGTTCTACAGACAATGAATTAGACGGATTATTTTAAATGAAGTGTTTTGCATGTTTACATCTTAGCACACTAAAAAATAAAAAAATCTGGTTGCATCTTTCTGAGCCCATGCAAAATCCTACACACATTTCTGTACTACTGACCATGGCTAAATGACTTTCTGATATGCTGGGTAAAGAGATTAATATTACAGGTAAAACAGCCCCAAGAATGGAGCTAGGGTAATAAAATACAGTATTTACATTTCAGTAAAGAAAATCATATGCAACTGAATCTGAGGCAAGGCCACTTAGAAACAAATCTCCCTGGACCTTAAATTTTAAACGAGCACCACAGAAGATGCAGACCTAGATTTAAAGGACCACAGAGGCTCATGCCATTTTGAGTACATTTTGATATCTGAATACCTAACTCCTACTAGTCAGGGCTCAGGACTGCCCAATTTGAAATGTCCCCATGACGTAGATGGGGTTGAGAAAAATAGTCAGTTTTCTTATAGGCAAAGAATGATTAGGTTGACTCTAAGCCACAGGGCAATTCATGATGCCACCCAAGTTGAAAATCATTTTCCTATAGTAACATCAGATTTGTATTTATGCTATTCGTGATCATTCTGAATATACTGGTACAGTCTTTGTGACAGACTTCATCTATCTGTAATCTATGGCTTCTATAAATTATTTGTCAGCACAAGGTCCTTCTTGGTACAATTCAATTAACTCTACTTTGTTCTTCTCAACCTAGCCTTGTATCACTTCTTTCTGGATGAATTGGTTTCCCTGAACCTTTTAATTCTACCTTCTCACACAAACAACTTGCACCAGTATTCCTTAGATTTGGCTGGTCAGGTCTCAGGTCTTGGGCCCTTTAAATGACATCTCACCCCACCATGGGCCAGGCAGCAGCTGATCAGGACAAAGCATGTCGTGGGGACAAGTACTGCTTATCACCTTTGATAGAGCCCTCCATATACAAACTGGCCAATATAAGGTACTGTGAGTCATTAAATCACATCAGAAATAGGCATGGCATCAGTTCAATGTCCAGTACCTGGCATCCATCAGGGGGACCAGGTAAGACTTTTCAGCACTGGATGGCAAGCTGGAAGAAGCAGGTTTTCCCTCCAAGGTCCCACGATGCCCTTTTTGAACACCATCGACCTCACAGGTCTTCTGCTTCAACTGCTGGATTTCATGTTCTAACCTACAGAGATGGAAGTTATGTGAATTCACTCATTAACAGTATCTCCTGAGAATCTTCCCTAGAAACCAGGGGAGATCCAGACCAAAACTGTGCAAAGAGCTTTACCTTCCACTAGAAAAGGTACCACATACCTATAAGACAAGGTATAAGGTGATAATAGGCCACAAGAGTGGTGCAGGACAAGTGCTACAGGCACCCAAAAGTTGGAGAGAGTTCTACCATCAAGGGCAAAGATATTCCCACTGTGCTCAGCAAATCCTCAGAGCTAGATGTGCAGGATTCTGAGTCCCAAACCCAGCTTCAACAAAACAGTTGGCTGTAGCCTACATATCAGATCCCAGTAAGTATTTCTATTTGACAAAAGAGATCTCTGCTTTAAAGAATTCTTTAAAACTGCCAACCTTCATGGTCAAGGCAGTTCTAAGTTGAGTCTTCACGGGCCAGTGGGAATTTGGCATTTGGAAATGACAGTGGGTGGTTTTCCAGGTGCAGAAACAAAGGGACTAAGCCACAAAAACCAGGAATCCGCATTGGCTAAGGCAGTGGGTGTGGAAAACAGAAACAGGCGAGAGAGACCTAGGAAAGCAGGCTGAATATCTAGAGAAATTAATATAAACCATGAGCTGTGGAACCAAACATTTATTTCCAACGACAGATGATAGGTCTAATATAAGGTCGAGTGTGTGTATGGCTGGTCTCCCACTGGCCCAGGCACGACTGAATCCAGGGCCATCAGGCTAGAGGGCCAAACTTGCCAGTAAATTTGGCCCACAGCCCACCATCTAGGGGCTGCAGCCCACTCACTGTTAATGACAGCTGGGTCTCAATTTCTTCATGTATCAAATGAGAGAATCAACTAGTCTCTCCAAATTCCTTCGGATCCAAAATTCAGAGAGTCTGGTTTCAGATGCTAACACGCCACAACACTGCCAGCTCTCTGGTGTCGCCAGCAGTGATTTGACTGCTCTATCCTGAACGTGAAAGCCAAGGTCTTGGCTCTCGGAAATGTGATTATGGGATCACCAGGGCAGGAGCTCCTGGGTCCGCAGGAGACAATGCCCAGCTGAAATCAGTCTTTCATCGGTCTACCGATTACTGAGCACCAGCCTGCAGAGCACGCAGTATTCTTGAAGGAGGAAGCACTGAGCACAGAGAAGTGATGTCAGGGGCCAGGTGGTGAGCAAAGAACCAGGGAACAAGGTTAACACAGAATCTCAGAGATGGTAAAGGAAAATGAACCAGTGCAAGTAGGTGGTGGCCAATGTTTGTAATTAAGATGACGCCTACGGAGTTGTTCAAAGACATCCTTCAGGGCTGGGCAATGGGAAGGACTCCACACAGCAAAGAGGCGCCAGTGGGGCCCTCAAGGCTGAGCAGGATTTCTATACATGGCGAGGGACAGCAGGGCCTTGCATGGAAAGGGTCGCAGCACCCGAGAAGAACTGGTCTGCCCAGCAGTGGCTCTGTCGTCAGCAGACAGGAGGACAAAGTGGGCACAAGCTGGATTCGAGATGCAACTCTACCACTTTCTAACTGCCTGACACTTGTCCCATCAACCATCAAGGAGAAAGAAGAATGAAAATGATTAAATCTCGCTCATAAAGCAAGCTGACAGGGAAAGCCAAGTGCACCGTTGGTCCAATCTGGCTCCACGTGAATCTGATATTTGGCACTTTGGAAATTCACAAGAGGTCAGCTCAGGGTGCATGGCGGGCCCTGGCTCAGCCATGAGAACCCAGAGAGATAATAAGACACAACACCAGTACCCCCAGGAAGCTGCAGGACCATCAAAGCCAGAGCAAAGCGCTCAAAATTTGCTGGCCTGAATTAGGGCTTTGCAAAGTCTACTCCATCAAAACACAGGAAGCTAAAAGCCTCCTTTGCGTGGCTTCTGGAGAAAAGCTGACATCGGGAAATCATTACAGTGCATCCACTATAATCGAGTATTAATACTAAATGGCCAGGGAGCGAAGCCAGTTGACAAAAGCCAGGACATCAGGCTCCAAGGCCCTGCTGCATTCTCACTGCACAGCGCAGGATACAAATAGAGAGTGTGCCCTCCACTGCTGTAAATTTCCTGGGGCTGGAGCTTTGTCCAGCAATTTCATTTACATAAGGTACCTACAATCATTTTCTTAAATCACAGACCTATTTCTCTGAAGTCACAGCATTATGGTTTTTAATTGTCACCTGTCACTGTTGTGCCTGGGGGGATTACTGGAGAGCTTTGGTAAACAGAATCTAGTTTAAGCAGATTGTTTGAAAGGAGGCTGTCCTGACCTTCTCAGGCAAGATGGTGGACAGGGGCTCAGGCAACACCTCCCAGTAGGTCTTGCCTCGTCATCAGCATGGATCCCAGGCCTCTGCCAATGTCAAGCTGGACTCCTAGAGGCCAGCACTCCGGGCTTCTGCTGCAGCCCCTCGGGAGGTGCTGTGAGAGGAGGGCTCCTGGGGAGGGGGCAGCATTCCAGGCCCCCGTAACCCGGGCTTCAGTTAAGATCTCAACAGACCAAAGGGTCTGGAACTAAAGAAAATACACAGGCCCATGCCCTCCTCATGAGGGTAAGGACATTGCGGCCCCAAGATGGAAGAGCCTGCCCAAGGCCAGCAGGGCAGGAAGGGGTTGGGAAGGGCACAAATCCCCCTTGCAGGACACCAAATCTGATGACGTCTGCACAATAGGCGGCCGCCAGTCTCTCTGAGTCTTGGCATCGCGTCTGCAGGGTTAGCAGAAAAAGCATCCCCCAGTTCATGTATTTATTTGTCTTGAGATCCTACCTCTGAGAAGCAAGGTGACAGGCAACAGGAAATATTCTTCCTTTACCATGAGAAGCAAGGTGACAGGCAACAGGAAATATTCTTCCTTTACCATGAAAACAGCGCTACTCCCTAGATCACAACATCGAAAATAATATCAGAGAATCATGACCTAACATGCCTGGATAGACCACCATGTTTGGAACATCCAGAGAGCTTTGTTTATTTTTTAATACAGAATCCTGAGGTGTCCCTCTGGATTCTCAAACACTGAGAATCAGCAGGGGTGGGGGGAGGGGTGTTTTTCAGTTCGCTGCCAGGTGTGGAAATCAGTGTTCATGGAACCTGTGAGCAAGTGCTGGTCAAGGTCCCAGAGAAGACATGGTGGGGGTGGGGGGAGGGAAAGGGCGGCAGAGGGAAAAGGAGTCAACGAAAGGGAATGGGGTTTGGGGAGAGCACCGAAGGAGGGAGGGGGAATCCGGCTGGAAGCCTTCTCAGTCTTCCCTGTTTATCAAATATTAAACACACAGTCAGAGGTCAGTGAGGTAACAGACATGGGCTTAGTTTGTGTGTTTTTTCCAACTTTAGGCCAGTGACTCTAAACCAAGGATCCTAAGGAAAAAGAAAAGAAGGCTAAGCATTTGCCAGTGAATCAGAAAACATAAAGGCTACAGAATTACTTTTTCAAAAAACAGTGAGACACACAGCACCAGGGCTAGAAGCCGCGCCATCACAGCCCGAGGGTTAATGCCATGGGGCACGGAGGGTGTGGCAGGCGTCCCCTCGGGCTCGGCTCACCTCTCCCGGTCCTCCTCCAGGGCTTCCTGCTCGGCCCCCAGGCCGGCCCGGGGCCCGGACCGCTCGCTGCCGCCGGCGGTCAAGGTGGCCGGCTTCGGCCTCCGCTCCTCGGCCCCCAGGCCCCGGGCGTAGCGCCGCTGCAGGGCAGAGTGCCTCCGCTCCAGCCGGGCCACCGCCCGCTCCAGCGCCTCCCTCTGCTGCGGCTCCCGGGATTCCAGGATCTCCTTTTCCTTCCGCCTCACCTTCTCCTCCTGACGGGCCACGTTGGCCGTGAACTCGACGGTGGCCTGGAGCTTCTGCAGCTGGCTGGCGCTGGCCTGGTACTGCGCGAGCTGCTCTTCTTTTTCTTCCATCTCTTTCTCCACTTGGTAGAGAGTGTTGTCCAGGCCGAGGGGACCTCGGTCGAGGATCTCGCAGGCTCTCTGTTTCTCTTCCAACAGCCTCGGCAAATGATGCTGCAGGAGATACTGGAGCTGGCTCTCCTTACACTGCAGCCTCCCCTCCGCCGGCTTGATCTGCTCCGCATCTCCAGCCGCGTGGGGGGCATCGGCGGCACCTCCGTCCTTCTTGAACAACAACCTCGATTCTTCCTTGCTGCCAGATTTTAAGCGCTCCAGGATTTCACGTTCTTCCTCCACCTCCTTTTTCAGGAGCTCTTTCTGCTGAAC